GTCTCTGTCCGGTTGTGTCCTCAGAGTCTCCAGTTAGACTCCGGTGTTTCTGTCTCGTTGTGTCCTCAGAGTCTCCGGTTAGACTCTAGTGTTTCTGTCTCGTTGTGTCCTCAGAGTCTCCGGTTAAACTCCAGTGTCTCTGTCCGGTTGTGTCCTCAGAGTCTCCGGTTAGACTCTAATGTCTCTGTCTCGTTGTGTCCTCAGAGTCTCCGGTTAGACTCTAATGTCTCTGTCTCATTGTGTCCTCAGAGTCTCCGGTTAGACTCGAATGTCTCTGTCTCGTTGTGTCCTCAGAGTCTCCGGTTAGACTCTAATGTCTCTGTCTCGTTGTGTCCTCAGAGTCTCCGGTTAGACTCTAATGTCTCTGTCTCGTTGTGTCCTCAGAGTCTCCAGTTAGACTCCAGTGTCTCTGTCTCGTTGTCCTCAGAGTCTCCGGTGGGACAGATGCGCCCGCCTCACAGCAGCGTCACTCCTCAGAAGAACAGCAACCTGCTGGTGATCATCGTGGTCTCTGTGGGCGCCGTCACCGTGGTCGTGGTCGTCATCGTGGCGCTGATCTGCACCCGCCGCTCCTCCGCGCAGCAGAGGAAGTAAGCAGTGTCTCTGTGGGTGGGGTGGGACAGGAAAGCCGTCCCGGTGGTCTTTTATTCCTTCGTTTTGTTCTCAGGAAGCGGGCGAGCCACGGCGCCAGCAAGAGGAAGGGCAGCCAGAAGGAGCTGCGGCCCCCGGACCTGTGGATCCACCACGAGGAGATGGAGATGAAGAACATGGAGAAGGCCCCGAGCGTGGCCCCCTCAGGACACGAGTCCCCCATCCAGTCCTGCCAGGACCTCCCCCAGGTGGCTCACAGCCAATCAGAGAGCCAGATGGGCAGCAAGAGCAGCCACTCAGGTTTCTGCTTGATTTCAGAAGATTTAAAGATTTTTTCTTTAAATTCAGACAGTTTTCCTTTGTAGCTGCTGTTTACTGCTAAGCTAAGCTAATCTAAGCTAATGTTTGGTTAGTTTAACACTTATTAATGTTTGCTTTTAGCTGCTATTTACTGCTAAACTAAGCAAAACAATTTTAGCTTGTAGCTATAGTTTTACCAACTTTTTTTCACAGCTACAGTTTTGCTAATTTTAGTGTTTTCTGACTGGTAGGTTACTTATAGCTTTTAATTATCTTTGGACTTTTAGCTCTCATAGTGCTAATTTTAGCTCTTACTTTAATTTTATCTTTAGTCATTGTGCCACTAATTTTAACTTTAAACGCTGTTTTAATAATTTTGTTTTTGTGACCAGTTGGTTTCTTGTGGTTTTTAATCAATATTGTGTTAGCTTTAGCTTTAGCTATAATTTTCATTTAGTTAATTTAATTTTAGTTATTGTTTAACTAATAGTAGCTTTTAGCCACTTCTGTGCTAATTTAGCTTGTGGCTGTAATTTGGTTACTTTTTCCTTTCATTTTGTTCATTTTAACTTTAGTTATGGGGTCACTAATTTTAGCTTTTAGCCAATATTGTGCTAATTTTAGCTTGTAGCTTTTTTTTTTGTTTTGACCTATTAGGTAATAATTTTCTTATCTTTTAGTG